GAGTCTCTTTCTGTACATAGCTCATGTCTACTGGTGCTGCTTCTCTAACTAAGAGAACCCTAACTAAGGCAGCAGCAGCAGCAAAGTCAGGAATTCTGAGGACCCAAGGTAAAATTGTGCCCTGTCCCCTTCAGTTCTCCGCTGTTGCCTGTTACCCCCCACTCCATCGGACTGACTGCAGGACGGAGAGATGGAGGAGGGACTGGGGTTGGGTGGGTGGGTACCCTCCATGGCCAGGATGTGTGGAACTGCATCTTCAGGCGTACCAAGCACTCCTCAAGCAGAGTGTTGAGCTCAGAGTGGAAAAGGAAGTCAGGAAAGTCAGACACGTCCCTTTCCCTGAGCCACGGCCTGGGTGGAGGATGATCTGACACGTGGGCTCTTGGACTTGGTCTTGGTGCCGTTGACGGTGGTTGGGACCAGCCAGCACTGGGCCCAGGCCTACACCCGTCAGGGACCCTCGCTGTCGGGAGCCTACAGAACAGAGCGGAGCTGCTCACGGCCTCTCCCTCAGCCCTCCTCTACTGTGGGAAGCAGAGCCCAGGCCACTGACGGCTCCGCTTTCTTGCGGCAGCTCAGTGTGTCCTGCCTTTGAACAGAGCTCTCGGAGCCTCGGTCACACTGGGCCTGTCTCGGGAATTGCTTCTTTTTGTTTCTCTCTTACAGTAGCCCATTTCCTCCTCCTCATTCCGGGACCCACCCAGCCGCTAGTTAGGCGAGAGAGCGGTCCTGGTGCCTTCACTGAGAGGTGAATGTGAACTAGGACCGCCAGCTGCCATGTTTATGGCCTCCGGGGAGAGGATGCCAGAGCTGAAATGGATCAAAGATAGAAACCCTGTCTTCGTGGCATTGTTCATGTTCCTGGACCCAGCCGAGTCCCCTGAGCCTTTCAGGTATGGGAACCAACACGTGCCACTGAAGTAAGGTGGCTTGAGTTCTGTGTCTCGCAGTGTAAGCATCTGGACAGCGACCTGGGCAGCCACGCCCTCCCGGGGACCTTCCTCACCATTCTCTTTTTATTTTTATTTTTTAAGGAGGGATTGCTATAGGGCGCGTGTGCTCGCCAGACAGACAGAGAGAGACAGAGAGATAGAAAGCAAGAAATCACCCTCCTGGGGGGGATGGCCATCCCGCAATCCCTTCTCCATTCTCCTCTCGGGATCTTGAGCACACATGCACACGTGCCCGGTGTGAGTTTAAGCCACCAGGTCCAGGATGCGAACCACGGTCGACTACGTGGGAGTCCAGCAATATAGCCATTACGTTAACTGCTGGCCCCCTCACCATTCTTCACCTCGATCCTCCAGAAGTTATCCCCTGCTCAAAACACCAACTAGGGGTTCCCCAAAGCCACACCCTTCCTTTCCTGCTTCACACCACCGATCACGTTCTCTCACCAAAGCCTCCATTCATCAAGGGCTTCAGGAAGTCTTCCTTGACTGTTAGGCTTTGACCTGAGGCTCTCCTGTCCTTTCCTCTCTCCCAGCAGACGGACTGAAAGTCTTTGAGGGCAAGAACTGTATGTGTTCATATCTTTGCATTCTCCAGGAAGCACACTTTGTCAGTAAATTTGGTGAATGAATGTTGCATAAAAAAGCATAACCTTGGGGCCAGAAGGTGGTGTGGTGGTTAAGGGCACTGGACTCCCACATGGCTGACCACAGTTCAAGTCCTGGACCTGGCAGCTTGTTTTTTCACTTTAGTAGAAAGTGTATATGTGAGTGTGTGAACACGCATGCACATTCCCCTTCCCCTCTATTAGTACAAGGGAAATGGGTGGGAATGACAGGGTACCTTCCCCCATTACAGTAAGAGCTAGGCTGGCACATGGCCTAGTGGTTAAGGGAACCAGATCCCACATGGCCAACTGCCCAGTTAAGAGTCATAGACCCCTGGCAGCTTGGAAAACATGCTGGGTGCATGTGTGTGCATACCCCAAATCCCGACAGGATGGAGAAGTGGAGATGGGATTGCAGCGTGATCACACCAAGAGTGCTTTCTTCCTCCCTCTCTCTCTGTCCCTGCCTGGCAAGTGCACACCCTCTGGCAAATTATAAAAATAAAAAAACATCAGCCACCCTCATGGTTATTCCAAAAAGAAACTGCTCACCAATAGTGGTGACACTTGGTGAGCGAGAAGTTCGAGGGGGAAGTGAAACCTCTGGGGGTAGCTGGGCTACCAGGTCTGCCTCACCATGAAGACGTTGTCCTTTGTAGGGCCTTGCCTAGAGACAGAAGTAAGGATGAAAACCTCGGAGTTAGGGCTGCCTGCAGGCCCTGCACCCCCAGGCCCCATTCTCAGAGGCGCAGCCAACCTTCTAAACAGGACAGACTGCCGCTGTCTCTTTGAAAGTTCTTCCCAACCTAGTTCCTTAATCTTATGGTTGGGCTAGGGGGTCTCTGCCTCTCCTTGAGCATCTCACGAAGCCCGTCCCCACCTACTGCACTGTGTCACTCAGCTGAACGGGCAGGCCAGTCCAACATAATCCCTCAGCTCTAAGCCAGCAGGATCTTCCCTAAGGAAACTCCTCCCCCAGCAACACCACACTGTCCCCAAAGCTTACGGGAGGAACTGTTTTGTTCGTTTGCTATTTGCTCAGGGGACAGAGACACACATGCATACCTTCTCCATTCTTCTCGGGATTCTGGACAGGCACACACACAGGCCTGAGTCAAGCAGCTGAATCTAAAACTCAAACTATGATCAGTCACATGGGATCCAGCCACCTTAACAGGGTCCTGTGGACTCACGTCAGCCACCGTGTGGCTCTCCTCGTACCTACCTGCTGGTGCTCTGTCTGAGGGCCCTTCACAAATGTCTGAAGGGACAGGAGAAAGAACACATCCACAGACCCCAAGAAAGACATGCACTCCTCCCAGGGATACAAAAAGCACGCTAACACGGGCTGCTCCTCAAAGGCAGCCCAAGCTCTTCTACCATGATAGACTCCTGGAGTTGGGTGTGCGGGTTTGATGTGTGAATGAGTGACAGGAGAGAATGCAGGCAACCGGTGGAGGCCTGGCCCTGCCCCCAGAGGGCTTTCCTACAGGTCACAGTCCGGGAACTGTTCCTACTGCTGGTAAGTATTACCCCCTAGGGTTTAAAGGAAGTGTAGCTTCCCCAAGCCACAGCCTGGGAAGTGAGTCTGCTCCCACACAATGGCCACAGTTCAAAGGCAGCTCTCTGCTCTGCAGCAAAGAGCTCAGGGCTGGTAGCGGAGCTGGGAGGCATCCCCTATTCCAGCTGTGGGCCCCGACACTTCCTGTGTGGAAGCTGTCAGGACCAGCAGGCTCCTGGAAGCTGGCACACACCAAGTCCCTTCTAACTTTGTTTTAATTAAATTACAAGCCTCATCAACATCCCCTGCTCCTCTGAGAGGAAAGCAACAAATCAAACCAGGAAAATAAGACAGAAAAATGACAGGCAGCCAATGGCATTGACATTCTTATTTGTGGTTTCTGGTTTTTGTTTTGTTTTGCTTTTTCGATTTTTTTTTCCTAGAAAAAAAAAAAAAAAAAGAACAACACACAACCAGAGGAATTTATATGACAGACTATCAGTGTCAGGGTGGCTGGGGAGAGAGAAAGGCCAGAGGCATGGGAGACTAATAAAAAGTAGGTTCCGGATCATGTGGAATGGCCCACAGGGTCACGTCCGGGTCCTCGGGAGACGACCGGTCACTTTGGCATGCGTGTCCAGTGCCCAGTCTTTCGGCCTGCCTGCCCAGACGCCCACGGACAGGGAGAACTGTCCTCACTGCAGACATCTACAATGACAAACTCGGGACTTTACAGACAGAAGACTTCATTCGGTTCCTTGGCTTTGCGCTCAGGTATCAGATGGCGACCTTCCTTGCCAAAGAGAAGGGTCTGGAAGGATGGGAAAGTCACCTTGGGACACACTTTGGCATCGCAGCAGTGAACTCCAGGCAGCTGCTCACCCGTGTGCGGACACGTCTTCACTTCCCCACCCACTCAGGCGTCTGTCCAGACATCCCCAGTCATTCTGGCTGGAGGACAGGCACCGGCAGTCTCTGCCCAGCCACAGCTCAAGAGCCGTGCCTACCCTCTGGTGCTGCTCCAGCTGCCTACTACCGGGGGTGGGAGGACACTGGCCTGTCTCCTTTCCAGCTCAGCACTAGATACTGATTCTGAAGAATCTCGTGAATCAACGAGGGACAGCCTGGCCATCGGAATCCACACAGGAGGTCTCTCAAGTTTTGCCCATTTTAAGCCCCAGCTCTCAGGGTGAAAAATTCAGCCAGACCCAGAGCAAACAGGGTAGCCAGAGTGCCGGCAGGCCGAGAAAGAACTGGTGGCACGCTGCAGGACCAGAGTACATTCAAGAAGGGGGAGGCGTACAGCAAGCCGGAGCCCCAAGTCCCGGTCTAGCGGTCTAGGGCATGTGTGGGGTCGGAGGGAGACAGCCAGGTCTGCTGTCTGCTGGGGGCCCCGCCTGCTGCGGTTCCTATGTGGAGAGCGGTGGGGTCCTGCCCTGCTGTGGCCCTCATTCCTGAACCGAGGCCAGGTTACATCTCAGTGCCGCGGTCCTGAGGAGCACCACGCTGGCCGGCCAGCCAGGCCACAGTCCTCTGGGTTCCACGGGAAGGCCCCAGGGAGCCACAGTCAACTGGGAGGGAGGGAGGGAAGGAGCGAGGGAAGAGGCTGCATTCTGCTGAGAGGGACTTCGGGAGGGACCACCACGGGCTTGTGGCCCAAAATATTGCAGAGCCAAAAGGAATAAGATACATTTCTGAAAAACAACAAGTTTTGTCCCTATGTTAAAAAGAGAATATTGTTGCTGTTGCTTTGTTTTGCCTTTTCCTTTTAAAAGCACTCACATTTTAAAAGGCGAAGGGGCCAGGGCGGTTCGGCCCCCTTCACTCTGATCCTGTGTAGGCACTGGGAGGCCTCAGACTCACCAGGCCTGCTCTCCCTGCCTGGGCTCCAGCCACAGCAGGCCGGGACATTGTACAGAAGTATCCCCCCTTATCGAAGAGCGGCTGTACTGCTTCCCCAACAGCAATTCCTTCTCCCCGCAGAGCCAGAGTGTGCGCAAGGAGAAGTCCAAAGACTAAAGTGCAGAGAATCCCACGGAGTGGGCAGCCTGGTATCGGGTGCTCTGAGGAGGAGTGCAGGAGGGATGGGCCCAGGGCCACAGCTGTGGAACACCTGTTGATCCTTGGGAAGTGAGCTTGCCAGACTCAGTCTCCTTCCCCTGGGGCCCTAATGCTTCTTCTTTCTGGGACTGTCCACTATCAGCAGCTTCCCAAGGAAAATCCTGGTCCCAAAGACATGGCCCAGGAGGGGAGAAAACCTGTCTGGCCACCCCTGGTTGTAATGAGTAGTGAACGAGAAGGGAGCGGGACGTGGCGGGAGGGAAACAGTGCATTATATAAAACCGGTGCATCCCAGGTTTTGAGAGCAGGGATACGTGGACCACCCTAAAGGCAGTCTCCCTTGGGGAGGTTTGGTGAAGATGGTCAGGATCCTACCAGTGAGGCCTGCTGGGGAAAGGAGCTCCTCGGGGTGTGTGAGGAGCGGTGGAGGCGGGGTGCTGCCGAGGAAGAGAGCAGTGGGTGATGTTAGGGTGTGTAGGCCGGGGGCGGCTGGAACTGATTGATGACCTCGTACTCTGCAGGGTAGGGCTCGTTCTCCTCCATCTCGGACAGCAGCTCCAGCGCCTGCTCCTCCTCCTCCGTCGGGTAGTGGCGCAGGAGGTTGGCCGCTGTGGCCAGGATTGAGGCTCCACCAGCTCCTGCCACCAGGTAGAAGCTAACGGCAAAGGTGACGTAGACTTGGGACCCGTGGTACTTCTTGTGCTGCTGCTGCTGGGCCAGGATGAGTTCGGAAGCCCAGTAAGAGAAGCCGATGACAGTGGCACACTGCAGGACTGGGGGACAGACGGACAGCACAGAAGGGGGATTAGCAGGTACCCTGTGCCAGGAGAGACATGCCTGTCAAACTGCCACACCAGGCCATCGGAGCAGAGGGGGCTGGTCTGCAGGGAAGCAGGAAAGTGGAGAAGAGAGGACCTGGCCACAAACTCAAGGGGAGCCTGGCTCCTGCCTTGCTTATTCTGGGCCCTCGAGCTCAGCTGGGCTTCGAATGCCGTTTTCAGAGAGCCATGAGAGCTTTGTGGGATTTTAACAGTATTCTCTCTCTGCAGCTGCCCGAGTAGGTGTGTGATCCTGGCAAGCATGCACAAAAACAACTGAAGCAAGCTGTGAACACACCCTGATGATGTGAAAGGCCAGAGCTTCTCACACGAGCACCCAGAACAGGGTCTGCTCGTTACAGCCCAAGTCCCCGCCTGCAATTGCAGGCAGCACACACCCGCCTGGTGGCAGCTCCTCCCACTGAGAGCACACCCTAGGCTTACCAGTGAGGATATGGGCGAAGGCATAGCGACGGGTGATCTTCAGGGCCGGATGCTTGGGCCCAAAGACATCCAGAAGGAACGCGGAGAGACTACACAGGATGCCCAGGAAGCAGAAGGCAGCAATGACCCGCAGGAGCAGCACAGTCTGGGGGTTCATGCAGAAATCTGTGGGGTGGAGAAAGCAATCTTCAGAGCCCCACGTGACACTGGTGTAGGACGTTCTCACCTGGAAGGAGCTCAACCTCCTGCCCTCAGCTACAGTCCCGGGGAGCCAGAGGACGGCTGGAAGAGACCGTCTCAGCGCCTACTCCCAGCAGGAGCCTGGCTCGCTGCTCTCGTGTGCCTCAAGTCCTTCTCTTGGCAACACGACTAGTCTAAGAGCCAGATCCCACTGCTCTGCACTTGCCTCGCTCTTCTAACCATTTTAAAGACTCTGACGATTAATCTGGTAAATTAATCCATTCTGCTAAAGACTGCTATAGGCTGTCCAGAAAAGCCCAGTGACTTCTGAGCTGAGACAGCCAGAGAGGCAAAGGCTAGAGGTCGATTCTCCATTTACTCATTTGTTCCCTTTTTTAATTTCAGAAGTTGAACCTAAAGACACTGTCAAGCAAGACAAGCCAAACACAAAAGGACAAATATTGGGACCAGCAGGTGGTGTAATGGTTATGTTGCTAGATTCCCACATGGTCGACCACAGTTCAAGTCCCGGATCCGGTGGCCTGAAACTTATGCCAGGCGTGTGTGCATGAGTAACCAGATTTCTAGCACAAAAGCCCCAAATGGCTTGGGAAGAGACAGCATCAAGGCACGCATGCTCTACCAAACTAAGGGAGTAAGCCGAGGGAAAGCAGTACGCTAAAACAGGAGACGGGACGCTGGAGGAGTCCCCAGGGTCATGAAGGGAAGATCCCAGGAGGACACCCACACGTCAGATACACAGACAACCCCTCTTTCCTTCTGATACTTTAATACTATCCTTCTTTTACATTTCAACTGGACGGCACTGCCATTCTCCTTTGAAAGCTTTGCAAACTGCTATAGCTCGCAGAGGCAGACAGCAGGATAAAGGCTGATCTAAAAAGAAACTAGGCTGCGATTAGGCATTTCACGTTTTAATAAAAGATAGGAGGCCCAGCTCCATAGCACAGCAGTAATACACTGCTCAAGAGAAGCCAGACCCCACGTGGTGACAGCAGTTTGAATCCCTGGCCTGGCCAACTTGAAACATGCTGGGCATGCACATGAGTGTCCAGGTTCTGGAGGGAGGGGATCGTGGTGTGACCGGACCCTGTGGAGAATGCCCCCCGCCCCCACAAGCAGGTACTTGCATGCTATCATGAATGAGAGAAGAGAAAGGGTAGGAAATGGGCCTTAACTTCCTCTCTCTCTTTCCTAGCCGTTGGCAAGCTTTTCTTTCGTTGAGGCCATGGGTCACTAAGTGACTAAGAACAATTTGGAAAGGACTGGCAAGACTTAGGCTATGGATCTTTCCTGAACCTTGATCCAGGCTGAGCGTGTGCAGGAAGGCCCTGGTGGGCAGACTCTCTAATGCACAGCTACATTATCGAGGGCTGGTCGAGAGCACGCTCCCAGGCGTCCCGTGTCTGAGTTCTAGGTGAGGAGCAGCACCTAGTTATCAAGAGGTTTTTCATTCACTTATTTATTTATTTATTTATTTATTTGGGGGGGGGGTTTGCTATAGGGCGCGTGCGCTCGCCAGAAAGACAGAGAGAAATAGAGAGATAGAAAGCAAGAAATCACCCCCCAGGGGGGATGGCCATGCTGCAATCCCTTCTCTTCCATTCTCCTCTCGGGATCTTGGGCATGCACGCACACGCGCCCGGTGTGAAGTTTAAGCCACTGGGTCCAGGACTCGAACCGTGGTCGGCTACATGGGAGTCCAGGGACATAGCCATTATGCTAACTGCTGGTCCCATAGTTAAGAGTTTAACCAGCAGCCCAGGTAACTCCCATGCTGGTGGTGTAAGACCTATACTCCGAGAGACATGGACCTCAGAGGAAGGTGGACTGATGGAAAGTCCGAGGACCTGGGAGGAGACGTAGACCCACCAAAGCAGACTCAGTTCCATAGATGCTGGCATCATGGGGTTCGGGCAGAGGGAGGCCCTGGGTCTTTGTGGTTGCACTCCGAATTCACTAAGGAGATGCTGCCTGGATCCAGACAAGGCTCATAAGCTTCCATCTGGCCTTGGGTCTCCCACCAGGCTGCCCTCGGAGCCCTCTATCCCATCTCTTGTGTGCTGACCATCTGCTTTGGGCCCCAGCACCTGGCCTGGGTGACTGCCTACTGCCAGGAAGCCTGTCTGTGTGCGCTCTGCCAGCAAGCAGGACCAGCCCTCATCTAACCCAGCCTCAGAGCCCGAGACAGCGCTGCAGGCCTGCAAGTCTACACCTCTGGGCCTCACTGAAAGCAAAGCTTGAGAGACAGAGGCTATCTGCTGCCTTGATGCTTGGTATCATTAAAGGCTCTTTTTTTTTTTTTTTTTTTTTTAGGTTTTAGCTATAGGGCGTGTGTGTTTGCCAGAAAGACAGAGAGATAGAAAGTAAGAAATTACCTCCCACTTTGCAATCCCTTCTCCTCCATTCTCCTCCCAGGATCTTGGGCACGCACACACACAAGCCTGGTGTGAGCTTAAGCCGCCAGGTCTGGGACTCGAATCGTGATCGACTACATGGAAATTCAGCTGATCGACTATCTGCTGGTCCCTCATTAAAGGCTCTTTAAGAGAGTTCTTGGTGTCCCTGTGGCAGGTGGCAGGGATAGGGCAGGACAAAAGCACTCTCCTGGTGCCTCTAAGAATAACCTGCCAGAGGCACGGTGTCCAGGCTTATACCACAGGGACGCAGCTCGGCAGGGGCTAGGCCAGATCCCACTAGCATTGCTGATGGCAGCCACGCTCCTCGAGTGCCAAGAGTGATCCACGCGGGCTTCGAACTGATGACTCTGCTTCTTTGGCCAGAGGGTGAGCAGAAGAATGTTCATCATACTATTTTTAGAAAGAGACATCTAGGGCCAGAGGTGGTGTGGTGGTTAAGGCACTGGACTCCCACATGGCTGTCTGAGATTCGAGCCCTGAACCTGGTGGCTTGAAAATCACGCGGGGCTCAGGTGCATGCATGCCCCAAATCCAGAGAGGAGAATGGAGAAGGGATTGCTGCGTGGCCATCCCCCAGGGGGTGATTTCTCACTTTCCCTCTATGTATCTGCCTCTCTCTGGTGAGCACACAAACCCTTCGTCAAAAACCTGAGAAGTAAAAAGGGACATCTATCATCCACACTCCTATGTGTCTACGTTCATGACGCGTTCACCCTGACAGTAAGGCACATGCGCACGTGGTGAAAAGCTCCAGTCAGAATGGTGATGGTGCCTTGCACACCCCCGGGGAAGAGACTGGCGTGCAGGATGCGCGAGTATCATCTCTCATCCCTGTTAATGCTCACTGCCACCCTGGGGAATTCCTCACGCAGTGTAGTTGAGGAGTTGAGGCTCCAGGAGGTTAAGTGACTCCCTCCGGGTCACACAGGCAGAGCCAGACCCCAAACGCGAGTGTCTGCACTGTGCAGAGTCAGCCACTTTATCTGTCCTGATGGAGATAATTAATCAAGAACTAAAGAGCTGTATCTGAATGAAGGGTCAAAGGTTAATATGAATGCTGTCAGAGTCACACTCAGAGCCAGCAGCTGCTGAGCTCAGGAAAGGAACAGCTTGGAGCATAAAAGTTAAAAAAAAAAAAAAAAAGGTTTTAGTCATTAAGCAACAAAAGAGCTCACAGGGAATGATTGGGCCAACCTCCCGGCTATGGTGGCTAAGCTTCTGCAGCGCTGTGGCCATCAGAGTCCAGCCCCTGGACAGGGTGCTAACCCTTGGGTCTCCCACAGACTATGTGTTATCTTGGGCGGGTCACCTGACTGACCTTGGCCTCCGATTTCTCATGGCTCCAATGAGGGTGGTAACACTTGCCCCAGGTGCCATCGGGCACGCTGGCAGGGGCAGGCGACACTGCGCTGTGGAAGAAGGGCC